GCGGGCTCCCATCCCAGGGCCTCCAGGCCCTCCCGCTGCACCGGCGTCATCAGCCATTTGGTGTTTTCTCAGAAAAGCGAGTCAGAATCATTTGATGGCAGTAAATGTGTTGTATTTGTGTTTTGCTTACTTCCTTTTTTTTTTAATATAGTAGATGACTTTACAGAACAGAAATTTGCTTTGTTGCAGTTCAAGAGGCTAGAAGTTTATTGGTAGTTTAGGTGACCAAAGTTTATATTAATCCCTTGAGTCTCTATTCAAGTCTTTTTTTATGACTCAGAAGTTATTAGATCTAATATCCACCCTGCTCTGATGTCCTCATTAATATAATAGAGAAAATTCTATTCTGAAACAGTGTGATATTCACAAGTAGAGGAATTCAATACATATTTTTAGGGGGAAAAAATACAATCTACAAGAGTATAGCCTCCCCTCCCCTCCTCCCAGCCCACACACAGTTGGCATAAAGAACAATGAGCACTGAAGGATTAGAGAGGTTTTCCTCCCCACTGTATGTAGTAACCAGCCAGTACCTGAGCATGTCCTCCTAGCTCCTCTCTCTTCATTTCTTAGTCGAATCTTTTCTTTATATACTTACTACAGCCTCACATCTTTCTGACAACCTTTACTTACTTTTTTTGAAGTCATGAACTGAATCATTCCTTCTTATCTGAAATGTGCTGACAACTCACCCTGTAAAATACACATATCTTGTTGTTTAATTTTTATTTATTTGTTGTTTGAATTGTAACATTTTTCTTACCAAGCCTTCATACCCTACTTCAGATTCTTCCTACTGATGATGGTTTTTTTAAGGACCCACAAAACCTGTTTTCAACTTAAAAAAAGTTTGAACAGAGTAGCTTTTCTGGCAGTGATCCCTGCATGCCAATATGCCTCTCAGCAAAGGATAGCCTTCATCTCTCTCCGGAAGAGAAGAAGAGGAAACTCAAGAAGAAGAAGCACCTGGTGCAGAGCCAGAATTCCTGTTTCAGGCATGTGAAATGCCCTTCAGCCATGCAAACAGTAGTTTTGTGTGTTGGCTGCTCTACTGTTCTCTGGCAGCCTACAAGAGGAAAAGCAAGGCTAACAGAAGGATGTTCTTTCAGATGGAAGCAGCATTAAGAAAAGCAAGCAGAATCAAGATTATTGGGAAATTATCTCAATAAACAGAAAAAATTGGATAAAATATTTGAACAGAGTAGAACAATTTCATTTGGTTTTTAAGACTATAATATTTGTGGAAGTAGACTAATACACCTTTATACCATGAACCAGCTGATAGTTTGTATCCCTATTTTAAAACCTTTTTCTCACTAGCAAGAGTTTATTCACTAAAGCTCGTTGTCTTAAGGACAGACACCCTATATATGGTGACATGTGGGAGACCATGAGATCCTTCTCCTGACATCCTCAACTCCTATAGGAGTGGTCTGAATATGGAGGTCTTAATGCAGGAGTCAGAGAATTCTTCACGTTAACTGACTCTCTATTTCTACTTTTCAGGTAAAATCACAGAGTTACTGTCTTCAGGTGTAATTGATTCAATGACTAACCTGGTTCTTGTGAATGCCGTCTACTTCAAAGGGAACTGGGACAGCCCGTTTGACAAAAAGGATACCAGGGAAAGACCTTTTAAAATCAGCAAGGTGACTATTTTATAACAAATAAGTATATCTTGAAGAAAGTGCAGTCAGAGTGCTTTTTGGAGGGAAGGATGATGAAAAACTGTTTCACAGACTTTGTGTATGTTGTTAGAAGAAATCAGTCTGTGGAAAAGGACATCCATCATGTTTGGAAGAGTAGAATATCAACAAAAGAGAGGAAGATCCTCAGTGAGATGGATTGATATTGTGGTTAGAACAATGGGTTCAAGTATTTCAAGGATAGTGAGGAAGCACAGGTTAAGACAGAGTTTAGGTCTACTGTTCCTGGAGTTGCTATGAGTCGCAGTGAACTTGAGTGCTCTTAACAACAAAACAAGGATGATCCTTAGAGGCAAGTATAGTGAAACTTTGTCACTCATATTTGGGTATGTTGTTAAGAGGGGATAGTATTTGGGAAAAGACATCATACTGGGAAAGGTAGGGTGTCAGTGAAAGGGAGAATGACCTTCCACAAAACAGATTGACAAAATGATTGTAACAACATGCTCACGCCTGATAAAGATCATGAACATGGCAAGGATAGAATAAGGTTTCCATCTGTTGTTCACAAGGTGGCTATTTGTTGGCACCTAATAACAAGAAGAAAGAAATTCTTGGAAACGTTGTTTATGTCCATACTGGATTTTATAATATGTAGTAACTTTTCACTACATTTCACTTTGGCGTCATCTGCACTCCATAACAAACCTGAGATATTGCTATCTTTTGTTTATTTATTCTTATGTAATTATCTCTTCCCAGGCCTTTGGATAAGCTTCCTGAATCCAGCAAGATTCATAGCAACTCTATCAACACTGTCCTATCCTGTGATGCTATCCTCATTATCTCTGATACATTTGAGCCCATTGCTGCAGTCAGTGTACCAACCCATCTCATTGAGGGTGATTCTTCTTCTCTTTCACTGGTCCTCTACCTTTCCAATCATGATCTCCCTCTCCAAGGAATAGCCACTCCTGACAACATGCCCAAAATACGTGAGATGAAATTTCACCGTTGTTGCTTTCAAGGAACACTCTGGCTGCACTTTTTCCAAGACATACCATTTGTTCCTTTGGCAGTTCATGGATATTTAGTACTCTTCTCCTGCACCACATCTCAAAACCATCAATTCTTCTTCTGTCCTTGTTCACTGTCTAGCTCTCAGATGCATCACAAGTGATTGAAAAGACTATCTTAAGAATCAGGTACATGTTAGTCTTCAAATCGACATGATTGCTCCTTGGTAACTTGGAGAGGTCCCTCAAAGAACAATACAATACAATATGTCTCCTGATGTCCTGACTGCTGGTACCATGCATGTTGATTGTGGATCCAATTTAAGATTAAATCATTGACCATTTTAGTCTTTTCTCCATCTATCATAATGTTTCTTATAAGTTCAGTGTGGAGGATTATGTCTTCTTGATATTGAGATGCAATCTATATCGAAGGCTATAGTCTTTGATCTTCTGCAGAAAGTGTTTCAAGTCTTCCTCACTTTTCACAAGCTCGGTTCAGCATGCAGATTAAATAGGAATGGAGAAAGAATGTGCACCTTTCCTAATTTTAAACTATGCTATGTTTCCTTGCTCCATTCAGAAAATACCTTATTGGTCTAAGTATAGGTTTCATATAAACACAATTAAGTGTTCTAGAATTCTCGTTCTTCTCAAGGTTAGCTTAGTTTATTATGATTCACATAATCAAATGCAAAGCAACATTTTTTTATGACATTCTCTGCTTTTAGCCAGAAACCATCTGACATCAGCAAAGATATACCTTGTGTCTGGCTTCTTCTAGACCCAGTCTGGACACGTAGCAGTTCTCTCTCAATGTACTATTCTAGCTGTTTTTGGTTGTATGTCACAAGTCTGGTGGTATATCTTTCAGGCCTAAAGTTCTTCATGGCTCCCTTCCCAATGTATTTGAAATAGAGGTCAAGCTGGTATATGAGGCCCTGAACAGTCTGGTCTGGCCCTGTCTCCATCATTTCTCACTAGTCTGTAGGTTCTCCTTTCTTTCTCTCACATCTTCCTTAAGTCCAATTTTGATGGCCCATCTCTTGGCTTTCACAGCACTTTGTCTTTTCTCCACAAGGATACTGTAGTGATAAATGACATTTCCTTTACCTCACACTGCAAAAAGACAGTCACAAAAGGAAAAATATTTAATAGTGCCACTGTTGTAAAATGGGACTGACATCAGGGTTGGGGGGAACCCAAGAAAAAAGGGGATAAGTAATGAATATTGCATTGCAATGGATGAGGGAGAGAACTGTTTAAAAAGAATATAGGATTAGGTATCATTTTAATGACAAAATTACAGAAAAAGAAATGGATATTAAAGTGGACAGTGGACTGGATGGATTGTATAACAATGAAAGAATTTTTTTTTCTTCAAAAAGAAAAACAAACTGGGGGGAGGTGTGGCCAGGGAAGAAAATGTGCAACAATGAATGAATGGGGAAACATTAAATGGAAAGAATATGCTGTAAAAATATATATGTTGCATTAAAAATTATTAATAAAAAATTTAATTTAAAAATCCCAAATGACTGCTACTTGAGATCGGTCTCAATCAGTACTAAGCATATGAATAATCTTTAGTCTTCTTTCTAAATAATGACGGAAGCACAAAGTTTTTTTAAAAAATAGGTAAATAAAAGGCACATATGTAGGATGGACATAAAGTTTTACTTTTTCCAGCTTTGAAGGTATTATTTATTTACTCTTTCTCACTAAAGCCAATCTATTCCCCTTTTTTGGTTTAATTTTAATTATAGAGCAATTTTGTTAACACACAACACACAGGATGTTTCTGTTATTAGAGACAACGAAGTAGACTCACCTAGTTTGGGCATGTTGTCAGAAGGGGTGAGTCCTTGGGAAAAGACCTTTTGCTGGGAAAAGTAGGGGATCAGAGAAAGAGCAGAACTCCTTGAGCAAGATGGGTGGACGTAGTGAACCAATGGACTTGAGGATATCAGTGGTCATGAGGATGGCGCTGCATAGAACAAGGTACAGATTTATTGTTCATAGGGTCACTATGATTCAAAGTTAACGCGATGACACATAACAACATCAACAACATGTTCTTTAATAAAACTTATTTCTCCACTTGAAGCTCTGTGTTCCAGCAAGAAGTTCTTCCCCATGTCCAGTGCAGGTAGTGATGTCTAGGTGTAGGTAGTCCTGTCTAGAAGGGATCTTGGGCTGGAGATGTGACTCTTAAAGTCAAAACCTGGATGAGGTCACCATAGAAAATAAGTTTAAGCATTAAGCCCTGGGCCTCCAGGGCTTGGAGGTAGACTTAAAAAAGAAAAAGTAGCAAAGAAAGGGGCTGGCCTAGAATGAAGGCAAGAAAGTAGTTCTAGTGGCAGAGATATTACTGTTTTGAATATGTTCTGTGTGTGGAATCTGAGCCATGTTTGAAGGCAATGTTTATCTATTTCCTTTACAGAATGAGCAGAAACCTGTGCAAATGATGTTTAAAATATCTACTTTCAAAATAACCTATATAGGAGAAATATTCACTCAGATTCTAATGCTTCCCTATGTCAAGAAAGAGCTAAATATGATCATCCTGCTCCCAGATGAAAACACCACTTTGAACATGGTAATGAATCTTAAAATAGTCAATGATCTGTGTTGGTAGAATTGTGCTGAAATAGAAATAAAAATCCAAAAGAGCCTATTGCTTTTGAGTTTGTTCTAACTCATAGCAATCCTCAATTGGTTTTCCAAGACTGAAATCTTTGCGAGAAAACTGTCATTTCCCCCCCCTGTGGAATAAATGGTAGATTTAAACTACTGACCTGGTTGTCAGTCCAACATGTTATGTACTATGCTGCTAGTCTGGCTCTACCATGTAAAAAGATTGGTAATATCCATTATGAGTGAAGAAAAGCAAAAAAGATCTTTCATTTGTTTTAGGGTTTAGTCTAGCAATCTTTATTAAAAATTTAAATGTGCACACCTTCTGGAATAGCAGCATCTCTTGCAGCAATTTGCCCTGTAGAACACTGGTAATATTTTGTATAGCTCCACAATGATGTTTGGATTGCCCTGCCTATTTTGGTAAATGTGCTGTAAACAACCTTCTTCTTTATGAGAAAGCTAAGTAAATTGTGTACTTCTAACACAATTTTGCAAGGTGGAATGGTTCATTATTCAATTTTACAGATAAGGAAATTAAAATCCTTATCTAAAATTCTCCCAATTCATGAGGTAGACTTTAGTGTTTCTACTCCTAGTCTTTACACATTCTGTCTGCCTTTTCATAACAAAACCATGCAAATAAAACAAGGAGCTCTCTATAAGCACAAAGGGAAAAGTCTGAGAGACACATTAAGAAACTATCAATGCTATTGTTTTTAGGTGCCACCAAGTTTACTCTATCACTCATAGCAGCACTGTGAATAACAGATCTGAATCTTGTCCTCCCCTGCAAAATCCTCAGGAACTCTCACATATAATAGTAACTGTGTTAATCTATCTCATTGGGAGTCTTCTCTTGCTGACTCTCTACCTTTCCCAGCATGATGTCTTTTTTCAAGGATTGATTCTTCCTTACAACATGCCCAAAGCATGAGAGTTGAAGCTTCACCATCCTTCCCTCTAAGGAGCATCCTGGTTGCACTTCCACCTAGATGGACTTTTTTCTTCTTTTAACAGTCCATACGATATTCAGTACTCTTCATCAAAACTGCATTTCAAAGGCATCAATTGTTCTTCAGTCATACTTACTCCTTGTCCAAATTTCAGACGCAGTAGTAAACACTTGAAAATATTATGGCTTGGGTCAGATACAGTCTAGTCTTTAAACTGACATTGTTGTTCTTTAATACTTTGGAGAGGCCCTTGACAGCAAATTTCCCCAATGTTAATTTTATAAAATTTGGTTGAAGAAAGGAAATTACTTTTGTAATTGAAAAGATTCTTAAAAGAAAACTGCTGTCTTCAAGCTTACATGATGTAATATGGAGGGTCAGTGTCATAAAGAAATAATCCCAGTGCAGGCGTCATGTACAGTGGTTGGAGGTTCAAGGAAAGTGGGAAGCACCCAGGAGAGCTACAGTGTTTCTGGGCTGTAATGTTGGACCTAATCTTGAAAGGGTGTGGAGTTCAGAAGGCAAGGTCCAGGGTGGGCAGAGAAGGCAGCCTGGGCAGGGAGTGTGTGCAGAGACCTCTGAGGGTGTGCATACAAGAGAGGAAGAGCAAGAGAAGGAGACGTGTAAATATAGGAGAAGCTGAAAGGAATAGGCTAAAGTTAGAGATAGACTTTTATTCAGAGGCAGAGGTATGTTTCCCAAAGATTGTTTCCTGATACCCTAGATTCTCAAGATACTCCCAAACATAGAGGGTAATTTGTGAATTAAAAGGTGTTTGTGAATATTCTCTTGTTCTCTGAGGAGTCAAAGTGTATATTTTATCATATTGAACCCTGGAAAACCCTTTATGAAAGAAGCTTTTAGATTTTGATCTTGCCACTGTTTCCTTAGCTCATGTGCCCACATGCCTTCTTATCTGGAATGCCCACCTAAATCCAGTGGGGATGGGGCTGTGAATATTGACAATGCTCAGATAACACTATTATCTAGAAAGGACTTATGTTGGGCTGGAGTCAAGTCAGAATTGATGGACTTAGAAGGTGACTTCTTTATGGATACGGACTTAGAAGGTGATATCTTTTCTCTCAGCCTGTTCCTCCCCAAGGAAGATGATGACAGTGCTTGTGTAAGAGGGTCACTGGATGGTTGGAGACGATGGAGTGACTAAGGCATTTGTTTATAATGTTCAGAGTTAGCCACGGGCAAAGATTAGCATAGTAGTCTTACTATTTACAGCTGTGTCCTGTTGAAAGCAGATCTGTGTTAACTTTCTCTAATACAAATCGCATGGATCTTAAATGTAGCTGCTGAAGCTCTCTGTCAAGCCGCAAGGTTCTATGGAATCAATGGCTGTTAAATAGGAGAGTACTTGGTTTTTTTAGAAAGGAAATCCTGTGGCTTCAGTGGAGAATGGTAGGAAAGACAGAGATAGATAGATAGATAGATAGATAGATAGATAGATAGATAGATAGATAGATCAGACAGCAGATACTAGACGTTTCAAGAAAGATGTGACAAGTACTTGAGCAAAGGCACTGGCAGTGGAGAATGGGAAAACCACAAAGGAGAGACACTCTATTTACTTAAAATCAACCTAAAATGGTTGAAGTCATTGGAAGGAAGCAGAGTAAGATAAGGTATTCCTACAGCATCCCATGTTATGTTGCCTTCAATGAGGTAGAACATTAAACTCTGAGGGGATAATTCTTTTCTGACACACTAAATCTGACCTGAACCTTAGTGTAAGTGTCTTGACACTAGGTAGATCTGAAGCTGAAAAATCAAGGGTAGAAAAGGAGAATCATCTTATAGGTGAATGGTTTTGCATTCTTGTGCTTTCCTCTAGAGATTTGGTGTCCAATACTGTAATGATAGCCACATATGGCTATTTAGGCTAAAACAAACCTAAATGGAACTTAAAATATAGTATTCACACGCACTTCCCTCATTTCAAGCTGCCACACTGGAGATCATTGTAAGTAGGACTACCACTATTAGAAATGTGCTGAACAATAGTTTGCCAGGAAGATATTCAATGCTATTGTAGATCTTAAAATCTTCATCTCTTTCTTACTAGGTTGAAAAAGAACTTACTTATGAGAAATTTATGGAATGGACACATCCAGACATGTTTGATGAGGAAGAGATGCTAGTCTACCTTCCTAGATTCAAGCTGGAGGAGAATTATGACATGAAGGATGCCCTTTGCAGTTTGGGCATGGCCGATGCCTTTGTCCAAAGCAAAGCAGACTTTTCTGGAATGTCTTCCAGGAGAGACCTGTATCTATCCCAGGTTGTGCACAAGAGTTTTGTGGAGGTTAATGAGGAAGGCACAGAGGCAGTGGCTGCCACTGCTGGCATAGTGCTGCCAGGCTCTACAAGGATCACCCGACAGTTTTGTGCCGACCATCCCTTCCTCTTCTTCATTCAGTATGCCAAGACAAACAGCATTCTGTTCTGTGGACGCTTCTCATCTCCATGAGGAGCAGGAGTCATTGGTTATTGGCCATTTCTTCCTTCCCACCCTTTCCTTTGACATTTACATTTGCCTACAGCCCAAAGTGACCTGATGAGTGAACGTGTAAGAGACGTAATTTTGATGTAACTGGTTAAGAACTTGTTCATACATATGTGTGAATGTGTTTGCATACATATTTACCTGGTGTTTTCTAGGTGCTGAAATTAAATTAAATTAAAATCTTGTGGTCAGGTTGGTGGTATTAATATTATATATTTCACAGAACTACTCCTCAGAATGAGTCACCCTCCCTACTGTCCTCACTCTCACTACAGTATCCTAGATATGACTGGCACTTGAGCCTGCTTTTGTACAGAGTACCAGAGCCTTGCCTTCAGAAGTGGTTATGTTTCTTTTCTTCCTGGTACCTAAGACAAGTGCTATTTTTCCTCCTACTCAGTAGTAAACATTCTAATTGAGTATACTCAAATAGCATAGCACCTTTTGCTGATATTCTGCCTGTTTAATGAAGGATGAAATAGTGAGACAAAAGGGATGAAAAGGTGCAAGATAAGGTCTCAGAAACGGTTAGTGGAAGTTAAATGAATAAGATCTTTTGTAATGATTAGTACAAGGTTATTTCCTATAAGTCAGGGGTTAACAATGTTTCACATGTTCTAATTGCTGTACCATTCCATCATCTCTGACATTAATGATCCCTCCTCTCTTCAGTCCTCGCACTCCTGTTTATGTCTTCAGTTTCTGTGAATTGCTAGAAATTCCCACAGGAACTTAAAATCCATAAGGGGAATGCTGATTAGGCAAGCCAATGTATCTGGCCACAACCTGGTGAATGATGGTGAATGACCAAAACCTGGTGACTCGAGCCTTCAAGCTGAAGTTGTTGACTGTCAGCACAGCTGGATAAGGTTAGATGTAGTGTCACAAGTGAAGAAGCACTGAACTTTCCAGAATAATTTGTTTTCTATAGGATCTCAGGTCTATAAACCCCACCCTTTGTAAATCTAAAGGTGACACTTTAGGTCACAACTTCTAGTAGGGTCGAATTTGTATTTCACCTTTATCCTATCTCCTTAATAAAATAATTTATCCTTTAATGGAGTTTTACACATAGACAGTACACAGCAGAGTTTAGGGCTGTTGTGCATAGGGCCGCTATGAGTCACAAGCGACTCGACGGTACTTAACAACAACATAACAACTCATAGTGTTTGAGTATTTCAGCAAGAACACACTACGCAGCAGTCAAATACATTACTTTTTGATAAGTGCTGGCATCCACTTCCTAAACCACATGCCTCTGGAAACTCTATGAACTTTGATAAATATCAATAGTTGTAGAGGGGCTTCAGTCCTTTTGTTCATAGGGTCACTATGAGTTGTGCTTGGCTCAAAGGCAATCAACAACAAGTTTTATGCTGTCAAGCCAGAACCTTTTGATAGCTCATCCCCCAGGCAGTTTTCAGAAGCTGCCTGCTTTTGAATTGGTAGCAGAACTGCCCAATATAGATAGATACTCTTGGTAATATATATAGAGAGCTTTAGTGGCCAAATGGCAAGAAGCTGTGCTGCAATCACAAAGGCACACAGAGTTCACCAGCTACTCTGCAAAAGAAAGATGGGCAATTTCCTCTCATGCAATTGAAACTCTCTGGAGGGTCAGCTATGGGTCAGTTCTGACTCGATGGTACACAACAACAGAATATAGAGAAACCTTTAGATCTGAGTCCAAAGTGCCTATTAACAGTCAATACGTATAATAAACCCATCTCTCTTCTAAACGTGTGTTTCTGCAAAGTATGGTTCTTACCAGGAAAGTTGTTGTTGTTGTTGTTATGTGCCGTCGAGTCGTTTCTGACTCATAGCGACCCTATGCACAACAGCCCTAAACCCTGCTCTA